ATGGTGCAGGAGTGGGCAGTGTTTGGGTCTGCTGTGTATAGGATGGTGCAGGAGTGGGCAGTGTTTGGGTCTGCTGTGTATAGGATGGTGCAGGAATGAGCAGTGTTTGGGTCTGCTGTGTATGGGGTGATCCAGTCATTGGAACTGACTCAAAGGCATCTACCAACAACAGCATAACTTATTTGAAGGCAGGAACTCTGTCTTAATCATTTTTTTATTACTAGTATTCAAGATAATTAGTAAAATTTCACTTTACATCCATATGTATTAGCTCATTAAATACCTCATAAAAGATGACATATGTCAAGGGACATATGTTAAATAAAATGTTCTAATGTTTCCTCAAGACTTATGATAAATGAGAAAAACAGTGTAGGAACTAATTTTTAAATTTATAAAACCTAGGGATTGGACATTCTTATGCCTGATATATCTTCATTTTACTTTTTTATTTAAAAAGGGGGTAAAGAAAAAGAATATATTTAAAAAGATATAATTTACTTACAAATGTATTTGGAAAAACCTTTTAACCATGAAAAATTTGACAATGTTAACTAAGAATTCTACCAGCAAAATCAAACCAAAGAGGAAAAGAAAAATTGAAAACACTTTTAAGACACTAGGCTCAGGGGAAACATGATTAGGAAAAACAAATGCTCAACATACCAATACTGGTGTCACATTTAGAGCTCAGAGTTTTTAGAAAAAATATGATCTCCCTGGAGGAGAGTAAGCATTGTTTTATTTAAAGTGCTTAAAATATCTGTCTTCATTATCATATGTCATCAGCCATTCAGATAGGATGTTGTCAAGGAAGAAAATATGAACCCTAATAATTCTTCTTACCAATGGTATTTCCAACAAGAGCTTTAAGATACAATCACTAAATGATGACTCTGCTATGTAACAGGAATCATTCTTACAGACAGGAAAGCTACTGTTATTTTCAGCTAATAGCTACATTTCCAGATAAGATTCTAAGAGCACCTTCCTTTGTTCCTTTTGGAAAGAGTCATATACAAATTAGGCAGTTAGCTGGTACATCTAATTTGTGTGTGTGGTTTTCATTTTTATGCAGTAGTTTCATGTAACTATCTAGCAAAAAGTCCTTTTAAGTGAGATGGTCTATTAGCCAACACAGATGTTTTCATTAAATTTTATTATGCTCTTAAAAATTTGATTACAATCATAAAATAATATTGTAAAATAATAATTTTCTGTGCCCAATAGCAGGTTGTGGTAAAAATGAAAATGGAAGTATTTTACGTAAAAGAACAGATAAAAGCTCTCAGATGGAATAACATTCACCTCTAGATGAAATTACACTCATTTTAGTAATTTGTTCCTAGTTTTTAAAGCACGTTATTTTTTTTATGGAGTATATTGTTCATTTTCTGCCCAAGCAATGCTATAATTATTTAAGGTCAAGGACTCCATCTTTTTCTTTCTTTCAAGTTTTTATTGTGAATTGAGTGATAGTTTACATGAGAGAACATCAGCTATACACTCATCCTATTGTACCTCGTTTCATTGCAATGATTACAATCCTCTCCACGCATCATCATTCAACAGCATTTGCTTCCATTCCCTCTGGTTGTTTTTTTTTTTTGGATGTACACTGAAGCACTCAGGAATATATAACTGTTCACACAACCAAAGGGTATACCCTGCAAGCCTGCCCCCTAGCCGCCAGCATACAGCCCCTCTCCCTCCCTGAGTCCACAGTCCCCAGTTGCTCTATCACTCCACGTCATTGTGTCTGCCTCCATCTCTGGCATCGCTGCTTCTGTGGATAGGGTCCCACACTCCACTCTTCTCCTCTGATGGTCCTAGGATCCTTTGCTCCTGGATGGTAGAATCAATCACTCCTCTCCTTTTGCTATAAAATGTCTACATTTACATTTGCAACACTCTTGATCAGTTCTGGTAGCAATATTCACTATTGAACCACAAGAGTCTTATCCCCATCTCCTTTCACCAGCCCCATCTAGACAGGTTAGAAGCCACTCAGTGGAGAGTCTACCTTTCCCCGCACCCTCTGGTACTAGGATTCCTCTTGAAAACTTGTAAGCCAGTCACTTCTTGCCTTTGTAGTTCCCCCACTTTGGGTAGCCAATGTCTAAGTTGCCCATCCCTGTCAACCCTGTGTACCAAGGAGGTGGGAATGATCCTTGTTATAAAGATTCATTCCCTCTTTTAAGCTATCATATCCATAAGCATAGGTGAAGTTCATAAAATTGTAGCAGATTACAATTTTTCTCCTCTCTTTCTCTAGTCGAGTTCTGATCATCCAGCCATTGAAGCTAGGTCAAATGGGTACTATCTGCAACTATGGGCATTCTTGTGCATTTCCCCTTACTTCATATCAGCTGGACGCTTCACTCTCCGCTCTAGTTCAGGAGTCCCCTGGTCTCACTATACTGCTGGCCAACCAGGTCTCAATCCAGGTTGACAGGAGTCTATTGAACGTGGTCGGACTTAGCTCACTGCTGTATTGCTGTTTTTCCCCTTATCGGTAGACCAACGTGGTCATCATCAAGAGTCCATGCCTGCTCATGTATTCCCTTTGAGTTTCAGTCTTGGAAGCGGGTTTGTCCTGAGGGGACCCAACAGCTTGCCTCGATGGCTCCCTGGTGAACAATTTGCTTGTTCTTCTAGTAGTCAGTCAGACTGCCGTTATTGTTTTTTTTATTTTTCCTGCTGCTCTTTCAAGCAGTATCTTCTGTTTTTCTAGTTGCTCCAGGCTGGTCTGCTTGTCTTTCCCTGTGGATTAAAGTTGTCAAGGACTTCATTCTTCTTTCTTCTTGGGTCAACCATCAGTACTCATGGAAGCAACAGTCAAGAAATCAAATGACATATTGCATTAGGCAAATCTGCTGTAGAAGACCTTTTTTTGAAGTGCTGAAGAGCAAAGATGTCAGTTTGAGGACTAAGGTGCCCCTGACCCAAGCTATGGTATTTTCATGCATGCAAAAGCTGGACAGTGAATAAGGAAGATTGTAGAAGAATTGATGCTTTTGAGTTATGGTGTTGGAGGAGAATATTGAAAGTGCCATGGGCTGCCAAAAGAACAAACAGATCTGTGTTGGAAGAAGTACAGCTAGAGTGCTCCTTGTTGGCCAGGATGGCCAAACTTTGTCTCTCATACTTCGGACATATTGTCAGTAGGGATCAGTCACTGGAGAGGGATATTATGTTTGGTAAGGTGGAGGGTCAGAGAAAAAGAGGAAGATCCCCAGCAAGATGGATTGGCAAAGTGGCAGCACCAATGGGCTCAAGTATGGCAACAATTGTGAGGGTAGCTCAGGACCAGGCAGTGTTTCGTTCTGTTGTGCATAGGTCACTATGAGTTGGTACCAACTCAATGGCATCTAACAACAACAAATATCATTAGCAAATCTCTCTTCTTTTCCATATTATCTCATTAAATACTTTAGATTAATTTTTTTAGAGGTGACAAGATAAGTAAAATGACTTATAGTGTCTTGAGGATATTTGATAAATGAAAAGAAGCAGTTAGTCCACAGGAGGCTAACTGCCCACACTAACCACAACCTGAGACCAGAAGAACACTACCACTACCACTTTGATCAGGGACACACAGAATGTCTTAGAATGTGAGAAAAATGTAAAACAAAACTGAAATTCGTAAAAAGAAACAACAACAACAACAAAAAACAGACTTAGTAGACTGGAGGAACCCCTGAGACTATTATCCTAAGACACCCGTTTAATCTGGAACTGAAGAGGAGTCTTAGAACAATTGTCTCAGAGATTATCTTTCAGCCAAATAATAGAATGGCCTATAGAGTAAACAGTAACACCTGTTAGAAATGTGCTTCCTAGAACAATCAAGTGCACAAGAACAAATGGACATTGTCCAACAACAAAGGAAAGAAGGCAAGGAGGAGCAGAGAAACCAGACGGATGGGAATGGGGAAGGCAGGGTGGAAATGGGGAGACACACCGACATACTGTGGGAATAAGCAACCTATGTCATGGAACAATTTGTGTACAAATTTCTGAATGGGAATCTAATTTGCTGTATGTTCTTTTATCTAAAACACAATAAAAGATTAAAAAAAAGAAAAATAATGCAGGGCCTCAGTTTTTAGTGTCTAGAAGTCAGACACGGGCCATCTTTATTCCTAACTCCATACAATTTCCCCAAGTGATTCCGTAAGCCACAATATGCAAATATTCAATATATATTAAATAACTACTTACCCAGTAAGTCTGAGGCTCTCAAATTTTCTTTCAGAAAAACAACAGAAATAATGGCACTTCCTATAAAGAAAATAAACAAGAGTTGTGCTTTGAACAGAAAAGCATACATTATACAATGCTAGCAGAAAGCTGAGAAACTTGTGTCTGATGCCTGGGGTTGTCCTGGTCACAGACATGCAGCTACTGCAGCTGTGAACCCGACTTTTCTCTCCCCTCATGGTTGATGATATACGGAAATCAGCCTGGTTCCCACTGGATCTACAACAGTGGCTGAAATAGGACCTGGCAGTACATGATTTGTTGTCGTGGTTAAGAGCTGTGGAGTCCATTCCGACTCATAGCGACTCTGTATAGGGTTTCCAGGGAGTGGCTGATGAGTTTGAACTGCAGACCTGGCAGTTTAAATGGACCTTTCAGTCCAGCACATTATCCTGCGGCACCACACCAGGACTCTTTTATTTATTTAGTAAATAAGAATGTACTAAATAACTCTGGTAGCGTAGTGGTTACGAATCGGGCTGCAAACCTTAAGGTCAGCGGTTCGAAACTACCAGCCG